TTKKTTTTTTTGCCATGGAAAGACCTGCTCATTGTTGGTGCTGTGCTAGCTGTGAAGTGCAAAGATCTGTCATTCTCAGGTTCTCAAAATCCACAGTCAGTTTTCTCAGCCACAGCTGGTGAATAACAAACAGGAAGAAATGAGAAAACTGAGAAAAATGATCCTATCTGTTCTGAAAACTGCTGTGATCTCTGCCTTCCTTGTTCTTGGGCATCAATAATGGGATAAAATGACATCRTATTGTACTTTAGGGTTCAGATTAAATGCAAAATGTGAACACTATGTTTAAGATGGATGTTGACCTTTCCTACCCTTCATCATTCAGCGGATCAGGGACAGAGAAAATAAATAAATGACTTCAGACACAGATCAGCTACTTTTTTTGTGCGTATTTCAAAGAGTTAAACCCGCAGCCACAAATATAGCAGAATAGCCACATTCCCAGTAAACCTCTATATTTTTGGGAATTGTGTGTTTGCTTTGAAGAAAGAATGGAAGTTAAAGTTCTCAGCCTTTTTTGTATCTGACTGCACTCCAATCTCTTTCTCTCTTTCTCTCTCTCTTTCTTTCCACCGTCTCTCTCAAACACAGCCTTTTTTTTCATCCTTTAATCCCAAACTGCTTAAGGAAGGGAAGGGAAGAAATCCCTCTACAATGTCGAGGCTCAGCAGTGTTTGGTAACCCTCCTGCTATCTCCACACCAGAGGTAGCGGCGTTCTTGCAGACTCACAGAACCTTCTCTGTCTGATTATCTCCCTGACAGATGTCGAGGTTGTTGTCAGAGAGCCGCACGTCCGTATCTGACTGTTGAAAATAAAATTTAAAAAAACAACCTCCTGGGAGTTTTTGTAAGCTTTTTTGGGGGGTTGCCTTCTCTGTTCAGTGTCAGAAGAAAAGATGTGAAACAGGCAGTAGATGCTGTCAGAAGAAAAGGCACCAAACATGCCCTCATGAGAAATGAAACCAATATTTTCTATTTTTCTTACTGGTTATTTTTATTTAGATTTATACACTTTTTTTGTCTGAGTGGAGAGCTCTTAAAAAGCAGAGGAATGAGGGGATGAATTAAAGGCGGCCTGTTGAGCCTTTTTGCCCTGATTGAAAGAGACAGCGAGCTCAAACATCTGTTGGTGGATTTTGGCTGAGCTCCTGTCTATTGGTGCACCCCGGTGGAATAAGGGAAAGTAAAATGAACAAGCTGACCTATTTTCCCCCTTCCTCAAGTTGCTCCTTTCCCCTTCTTTTCCTCCTTTTTCTGATCCATGTTGTTGCTTTATACTTGGAATACTGGAGTCTGGGTATAGAAATGCAAAATTGATGAGTTAGTTGATGTTTTGTGACTGTTTCTTATCTGAATTTTATTATTTGTGATATTATTTGCTCAGTGTATTCCTGTTAAAGGGATTTTTTTTCCTATGTGTGGTGAAGTATATAAATAGTGCAGACAAGGCTCACTAGGAGGTAATATTTCCCTAATTCAGATTAGTGTTAGGATAAGAAGCAGGGCTTTTTCTTGTCTAGTTTACAAATAGCAGAAAACATTTTCATGCCAATAATTCAATTTGCTTTGCTGTAACTTGTTGTAACTAGTACACAAGGAGAAAAAAGTTGCGGTGTGTGTGTGTGTGTGTGTGTGTGTGTGTGTGTGTGTGTGTGTGTGTGTGTGTGTGTGTGTGTGT